GATATTCCATTTTAGGATTTTTGCCATGTATATTTTTTATATATATTTTATATCATATTATTCAGTTTTTTAGGGTATTTCAATTTGTTTTATACTATTTTGTTTAAAATCATATTGATGCTTTTTTGTGTTTAATATTATAGGCATTTATTTTTACTGCCTAATAAGCACTGAGCTTTTTACCATTTAATATTATGTATTATGTACCTACCATATATTATCCCTTCTATTAAGAAAATAGCTCCCCTCTTCAATTGTAAATTGATGTGCTGCAAATATATGTACTTTGCATATGAGTCCAATTACATATAAATATGATTGAAACTTATGCGTTCCAGCAGTGGAACGCATGGCGCCAGTCCCGCCTACATCCATGTGGGATTATGATGTTTTGCGTTCCACTGTTGAAACGCAAACCGGAAGCGAAACCGGAAACCGGAAGTAATGTTATGAATATTGAAGACAGGAAACCGTCACCGAAAATGACGTCATTTGCGTTCCATCAGTGGAACGCAACCCGGAAACCGGAAGTGAAACAAGGACGCCGAAAATCAACTGATCTTCATGATTACTCTGCAATTTCAGTATATAAAGAACATTCTTTTCATACACCACAGCAACTGATGAAGCCTCTATTAGGGGTGAAACGCGTTTTGCACTTTGATTCAAAGACTCTTCATACTACCCATCTTCAAGTAGTAAGGTCTTGTTACTTTTATCTTTATTTATGTTTTTTAATTTGTGATATTTTCTGTGCACTTTACAATAAAGCACTTTTGGAAAAGACCACCTGTTCCTGAGAGGAATATTTTTAGATCACCAGCCGTAAAAAGAAGGCAGTGGGAACCTCATATCCCACAACACTGGAAAATTGAGCCATACTTTGTGGCTCTATACTTGTGAGTGATACTCCTCTCATTTCCATTATATCTTCTTTATATAACAGACAATACTGCACTATCATATGCCTTTATTTGTTCTGTTTTTTAGAGATACAGAATATTTATTATAATAAGAAGATACTCCACCTTATATTGTATGTATTTGTATCTATTTGTGAGGTAAAAGGGACTCTCACTGAGGTGTTTCAGAGTACTTTTTATTATTGTGTGTCTCACTACTTTTCTATTATATTGCTTTGTATTTAGCACAGTGTTTTTTGGCGGTTGTAGATGAGTAACAGATTTTGGGGGTCAAAGGTATATAGTAAATTATATAATATGATGAAAGTAATGGTATCTTTAAAAAAAAAAAAAAACATTTAATGGCGAGAAAAACAGTATATAATATGTGTGGGTACAGTAAATGAGTAAAAGGAAAATTACAGCTTAACACAAACACCGCAGAAATGTAAAAACAGCCCTGGTCCTTAACGTTAAGAAAATTGAAAAGCGTTTTGGTCACAAAGGGGTTAAAGTAAGATGCAGAAATGCCACAGTTACAAAATAAACCATGGTTCCTACACCCACAGAGGAAAAAGTGAACAAAGAATATGGTTCTACATGGACCCATTTTGTAGATTTACCATAATATAAAAATATAATAAGGAAATTCAGGTTGAGGCAGACATTTTTAATTAGGGAGGTGGGTGGCAGAGATAGACAATAGGTTATAAGATATTGTTTCTTTTTTGTGGCACGACTAGAAGAAATATTGCAGTGAAAATTTGTTTTAATTTTGTTAAAATGGGAGGGAGGGGGTGAAGGGTTTTTCTTTTTGTTCTTTTCCAACCTCTCCCGGTATTTAAAGGTTTTTCTGTGAAATTTGTATTTAAAGGAGAAAAAAAAAATAAAAAAGAGAAAACAGCAGATATATATAGAAAAAATAAGATGGTCAAATATTAGGGGAAAAAAAAAGAGAGAAAATGGAAAGGGAAAGAAAAGGGATATTTTACATGAGACTTTTTCTCACACTCACAAATAAATAAAGGGTTAAAACACAAATGTAATGAATCTTTACAATGCCCTTGGGGATTTTTTGGTTTTTTTCTACATACTATGTGCACTAAAGGGAGGAAGTAAAAAAAAAAAAGAGGAAAAGTAAGGGAAAAAGGAAAGAAAGATAATATATATATATATATATATATACAATAAATTAATAAGAAAATTATTATTTTTAACATTTGAATAAATGAAAAGGAGAAATCCTTCATCTAAATCAAATTATCACAAAAGATGGTGTGAAAGGGATAAAATCTAGTTGTTGTTAACGATATTTTTTAAAAGGATTACATAGATTTTGTCATAGACTTGGTTAATGGATTCATGGACTTGGTTTGCATTAAACCAAGACAGAGACTGTGTTTTAGTGAAGGGAAATGTTATAAAGGTTCTGGATGTGCTGTCAGTAAGTGATTTTGCCTACATACGTAACCGGAAGTGATGCACATATCGATCTGAAACAAGAAACTGTGCCACCATATATTTGGAGTAGAATAACATAAATCAGAAGAGTGAGGCATTTTGGGTAAAAAGAAAGAAACAAAATTGGCATTTAGAGTTAGCACTTGGAAGAAGGCTACACAATCGAAACATGTTTAAGCATGCGTGGGATAGGCATAAGGCTATCCTAACTATAAGATAAGACTAGGGACTAATGAAAGTATTTAGAAAATTGGGCAGACTAGATGGGCCGAATGGTTCTTATCTGCCGTCACATTCTATGTTTCTATGTTTCTGTGTTTCTATGTCTGCTTTGTAATTGTAATTGCTCAGTGGTGAGACCATTGTGTTACTGTTTAGCATGTTTACCAACATAAACATTTATACCCTGAAAATATTTTTATATTTGAAGAATTTTTTTGTTTTATTTAATAAAGTGTATATATGTATATATATATATATATATATATATATATATATATATATATATATATATATATATATATATATATATATATATATATATATATATATATACACACTGCTAAAAATAATAAAGGGAACTCTTAAACAACACAATGGAACTCTGAGTCAATCACACTTCTGTGAAATCAAACTGTCCACTTAGGAAGCAACACTGAGTGACAATCAATTTCACATGATGTTGTGCAAATGGGATAGACAACAGGTGGAAATTATAGGCAATTAGCAAGACACCCCCAATAAAGGAGTGGTTTTGCAGGTGGTGACCACAGACCACTTCTCAGTTCCTATACTTCCTGGCTGATGTTTTGGTCACTTTTGAATGCTGGCAGTGCTTTCACTCTAGTGGTAGCATGAGACGGAGTCTACAACCCACACAAGTGTCTCAGGTAGTGCAGCTCATCCAGGATGGCACATCAATACGAGCTGTGGTAAGAAGGTTTGCTGTGTTTGTCAGCGTAGTGTCCAGAGCATGGAGGCGCTACCAGGAGACAGGCCAGTACATCCGGAGACATGGAGGAGGCCGTAGGAGGGCAACAACCCAGCAGCAGGACCACTACCTCCACCTTTGTGCAAGAAGGAACAGAAGGAGCACTGCCAGAGCCCTGCAAAATGACCTCCAGCAGTCCATAAATGTGCATGTATCTGCTCAAACGGTCAGAAACAGACTACATGAGGGTGGTATGAGGGCCAAACGTCCACAGGTGGGGGTTGTGCTTACAGCCCAACACCGTGCAGGACGTTTGGCATTTGCCAGAGAACACCAAGATTGGTAAATTCGCCACTGGCGCCCTGTACTCTTCACAGATGAAAGCAGGTTCACACTAAGCAAATGTGACAGACGTTGACAGAGTCTGGAGACACTGTGGAGAACCTTCTGCTGCCTGCAACATCCTTCAGCATGACCGGTTTGGCTGTGGGTCAGTAATGGTGTGGGGTAGCATTTCTTTAGGTGGCCGCACAGCCCTCCATGTGTTTGCCCGGGGTAGCCTGACTGCCATTAGGTACTGAGATGAGATCCTCAGACCCTTTGTGAGACCATATGCTGGTGAGGTTGGCCCTGGGTTCCTCCTAATGCAAGACAATGCTAGACCTCATGGCTGGAGTGTGTCAGTAGTTCCTGCAAGACGAAGGCATTGATGCTATGGACTGGCCCGACCGTTCCCCAGACCTGAATCCAATTGAACACATCTGGAACATCATGTCTCGCTCCATCCACCAACGTCACGTTGCACCACAGACTGGCCAGGAGTTGGCAGATGCTTTAGTCCAGGTCTGGGAGGAGATCCCTCAGGAGACCATCCGCCACTTCATCAGGAGAATGCACAGGCGTTGTAAGGAGGTCATACAGGCACGTGTAGGCCACACACACTACTGAGCCTCATTTTGACTTGTTTTAAGGACATTACATCAAAGTTGGATCAGCCTGTAGTGTGTTTTTCCACTTTCATTTTGAGTGTGACTCCAAATCCAGAACTCCATGGGTTGAAAATTTTGATTTCCATTTTTTTATTTTTGTGTGATTTTGTTGTCAGCACATTCAACTATGCAAAGAACAAAGTATTTCATAAGAATATTTAATTCATTCAGATCTAGGATGTGTTATTTTTGTGTTCCCTTTATTTCTTTGTGCAGTGTGTATATATATTCGATTCTGTGTGCATTGTACAGAGTTTGATATGACTCTTAAGAATGTGAGTGATATTATATTAGATTGCTTATTGATATATGTTTTATAGATCACACTATGTATTCACCATCCATAGTTTTAGAGATATTTTATGTTCCTTTTATGAATTTTGTTGGCTGAATGATTCTGTCAGACTAGTTATAGTTTAATTTTCTACTTATAAAGTTTGTTTATTTGTGCTGAGTTTGAACCTAGTCTATAACATTATCTAGCCAAATAAGAATAACAAGCACAATTCATAATTATATATTATTTAATTGCTTTAACAATCTAATATATTGTTTTAACATATATTGATCTGATAATAAATTTTAGAGGATAAATGTCCATGCTCTGCTTTGCTTAATCATATTTGTTGATGAATAGTTTTTTCAATCTAGACTACTATAGAAGATATGGTAATGTCTAAATAAAAGTTCTGAAATTAAAGCTGCTTTAAAAGTTGACTCACTAGTTGTAGGAAGACAGTTTTGATATCCCGATTTCGCAAAGTATAGATGAAAGGGTTAAGCATTGGAATCACTACAGTGTAAATAAGTGCTAGATATTTGTCATAATGACTTCCTTCAGGTCGGACATACACAATAAATGCTGTGCCAAAGAATAGGCTGGCCACTATGAGATGAGATGAGCAGGTAGAGAAGGTTTTCTTCTTTCCATCTGAAGTCTTTATTTTTGAAACAATTAAAATAATGTGGATGTAATACCTGATTATTAAGCTGAATGGAATGACTAAGGTAATGACAGCTACTATGCTTGTGACCACTTTGCTGATGAAGGAATTAGAACAAGACAAATTCTGTAGAGGCGCCAAGTCACAGAAGAAGTGGTTGACTTCATTGGGGCCACAGAATTCCAACTGAGCCGTGAATATTGTAACAATGAAAGACATAACAAAACCGATCATCCACGGGGCAAGAGACAGCACAATACAGAAAGACTGGGTCATAATAGCTGGATATTGTAGAGGATTGTGAATAGCTATATATCGATCAAAGACCATCATACATAAGAGAATACATTCTGATTCCCCCAAGGCATTGAATAAATATAACTGAATAAAACAATCAATAAAATGTATATATTTATTAGCTGTAATAAGATTATCTAAGAGTTTTGGAATAGTAACAGAAACGAACATAATCTCTAGAAAAGCAAACGTAGTAATGAAAAAATACATTGGGTTATGGAGTGAAGGTGCAACTCTAACCAGAATGATGGTGACAATGTTACCAATGATACAGATAATGTACATCAACAAAATCACAGTGAAAAGTAATATCTGGAGATGCGGAGTGTTGGAAAATGCCAGTAAAATAAATTCTGTAACTATCGTTTTGTTAAAACCTTCCATTTTCTAGGGAAACGTCAGCTGGAAAAAAAAAGTTGCTTTTTCATATGTGATTTTTCTGGTAAATATATGTAAATCCTTGATCTTCTTCAATGTCTATGATGTGAACAATTAGTGGACTGCGAACACAATGCTTGTTATAGCTTATTTTCCAGAGATATTTCACCCGAAAGATCCACAAGTATTACATGAATCCCAGTTTATCTTTTTTTTATCTTCTGCTGTGGTGCAGAGGAAAATTTCTCCTACAAAGCTTTGTCCATCCCTTTATCTTCCCGCATGGTACAGGGCGTGCATGGCTCAATATATACAGCCCAGGGAAGGCTGTGGGGAAATGTCAGAGCTTATTATGAGCAATTTGCAATAGCACCTGCAATGCACTCGGTGTCAGCAAGCTTTGATGTGTATTGTAAGAGGACATTACGTCTGCTCATAGATTGCATGTCTACATTTCGATGGTGTTTTAGAAAATTCACAAACTTTCAGCAAATTGTTATAAATATCAAAGAAAAGTTTATTTAACCATTATCTATGTAATATACGTACGTTTTACTTAAACATGATGTAATAAAGGTGCATATTTCTCAGCTATATTTCTGTCTGTATTAAAATACTACGAGACCAAGATTAAAAATGAATTTGTCATAAATCAATTCACTCTGTATTGCTGCATACTGTAAATTCACATATTTGAAATTTATTAGGTGTCCTTGAACAGCAATCTATGAATGGAATTCACTGTTTTCACCTTATGTTATATCCTTAACGGGCATCTAATGTTTAATATTTCTTTTTGGTTCAGCAGAACCTGAACAAATACAAACCTATATAAATGTGTGATTGTATCTCTCCTGATGGGATCTTCATACTAAATCACATGTCAGCATTATTTATTAATCAATAAAATATTTTAGCAGGAAGGACACATTGAGATTTCTCTCATTTTCAATATGTCCTCAGTCCACAATCATTACATTTAGTGATAAAGGCAGTGGTTACCTGGTCAGTACTGAATGGAAGTGTTAATGTTCTCCCCTGCACTCGGCAACACGGTTCTAGCACTCTCCTATCCTTTCTAAAAAAAATAAGAGAAATATTTTTTTAGATAACAGATGTACATGGATAGCATGGAATTAAAAATGCATGCCTTGATCATGGATAGCATGGAATTAAAAATGCATGCCTTGATCATGGATAGCATGGAATTAAAAATGCATGCCTTGATCATGGATAGCATGGAATTAAAAATGCATGCCTTGATCATGGATAGCATGGAATTAAAAATGCATGCCTTGATCATGGATAGCATGGAATTAAAAATGCATGCCTTGATCATGGATAGCATGGAATTAAAAATGCATGCCTTGATCATGGATAGCATGGAATTAAAAATGCATGCCTTGATCATGGATAGCATGGAATTAAAAATGCATGCCTTGATCATGGATAGCATGGAATTAAAAATGCATGCCTTGATCATGGATAGCATGGAATTAAAAATGCATGCCTTGATCATGGATAGCATGGAATTAAAAATGCATGCCTTGATCATGGATAGCATGGAATTAAAAATGCATGCCTTGATCATGGATAGCATGGAATTAAAAATGCATGCCTTGATCATGGATAGCATGGAATTAAAAATGCATGCCTTGATCATGGATAGCATGGAATTAAAAATGCATGCCTTGATCATGGATAGCATGGAATTAAAAATGCATGCCTTGATCATGGATAGCATGGAATTAAAAATGCATGCCTTGATCCTGGATAGCATGGAATTAAAAATGCATGCCTTGATCATGGATAGCATGGAATTAAAAATGCATGCCTTGATCATGGATAGCATGGAATTAAAAATGCATGCCTTGATCATGGATAGCATGGAATTAAAAATGCATGCCTTGATCATGGATAGCATGGAATTAAAAATGCATGCCTTGATCATGGATAGCATGGAATTAAAAATGCATGCCTTGATCCTGGATAGCATGGAATTAAAAATGCATGCCTTGATCATGGATAGCATGGAATTAAAAATGCATGCCTTGATCATGGATAGCATGGAATTAAAAATGCATGCCTTGATCATGGATAGCATGGAATTAAAAATGCACGCCTTGATCATGGATAGCATGGAATTAAAAATGCATGCCTTGATCATGGATAGCATGGAATTAAAAATGCATGCCTTGATCATGGATAGCATGGAATTAAAAATGCATGCCTTGATCATGATTAGTCCGTGTTTTCTGCTATAATTGACTGGTGACTGCATCATGGAAATCTGGAGGTCACTGGGGTTCCCACATAGCAATGCAAAGCATACTGATTGTACTTACTCCAGCACCACTTAGCAACAGCACCCTATCAATGTATTAAACTGTTCCACTTTTTAAACACTTTATTATTATCTATCTATCTCTCTCTCTCTACTATCTATCTATCTGTCTATCTATCTATCTATCTATCTATCTATCTATTTATCCATTATCTATCTCTCTATCCCTCTATCCCTCTATCTGTCTATCTATCTATCTATCTATCTATCTATTTATCTATCATCTGTCTATCTATCTATCTATCTATCTATCTATCTGTCTATCTATCTATCTATCTATCTATCATCTGTCTGTCTGTCTGTCTATCTATCTGTCTGTCTGTCTATCTATCTATCTGTTTATCTATCTATCTCTCTCTCTCTCTTTCTCTCTCTATCTATCGATCTATCTATCGGTCTATCTGTCTGTCTATCTGTCTGTCTATCTGTCTGTCTATCTATCTATCTATCTATCTGTCTATCTATCTATCTATCTATCTATCGTCTGTCTGTCTATCTGTCTATCTGTCTATCTATCTATCTGTCTATCTATCTATCTGTCTATCTCTCTCTCTCTCTCTCTATCTATCTATCTATCGGTCTATCTGTCTGTCTATCTATCTATCTGTCTATCCATTTATTTATGTCTGTCTATCTGTCTATCTCTCTATCTATCTATCTATCTGTCTCTCTCTCTCTCTCTCTCTCTCTCTATCTATCGGTCTATCTATCTGTCTATCATCGGTCTATCTATCTGTCTATCATCTGTCTATCTATCTGTCTATCATCTGTCTATCTGTCTATCCATTTATTTATGTATGTCTGTCTGTCTGTCTATCTGTCTCTCTCTCTATCTATCTATCTATCTATCTGTCTATCTATCTATCTGTTTGTCTGTCCGTCTGCCTCTGCATCTATTTATATTAAAGGAAAGCATTGTATTCCCTTTAAGAGCAGTATATAATATGTGCAATTGTGTTAATTACTGCTGAACAAACAACATAATGAGCTGAATCTAACATTACAAATAACCTTAGTAAATTGGGGGTTAATGTTCCATAGAATTATTATGTGCTGTGTTTCTTGGAAGTGGATTATAATCATTTTTACAAATCAGGCCGATTTTGACACAAAGAGAGTTTATTAGGAACCATATGCTAATTGTTCATTTAAAGTCTGCACATGTTGAGAAGTTTTGAATTCCCAGAACCTCTACCTGTGAAGTTTGTCAGCCTCCGATTAACTGGCACCAACTTTAAGAAGTTGACTACTGGCATAGAGTGCAGTCTTGTAACTGTTTAATGGATCTCACACAAAGAGAAACCAGATTACATCCCAGTGAACAAGAAAACGCCGATGTTCTACTACTAGAGTGTATTCTACCTGTAAAGACATTTCCCAATGTACTCACTTGTAACATAAGGTAAGCCACCCAGAATATTTCACCTGCAATAGTCTGTTGATTGCAGCTTCATAGTCAGAAAGATCATGTTAATTTACACACATTGGAAACACGCCTTCCTTTTATAAAGAGGTTGTCATTGTGTGATCTTGAGAGAGTTCATTAAAGGATAACAATGTCCCTTGTGGCTTCATTTTTAATAAATGATGTGAGGACAATCAAGGGTTTATCCCAAAATGTAAATGAAAGGTGGTTTACCGGGAGCTATTCAGAAAAATAATCCCATGATAACATGGGAAACCTGCCACTGTATATTGTAAACCTGCATCGTACAGTGAAAGGTGAATTGAATTCATATTTAGAGGCAAATTTCCATTGAAAGCCCTACAAGCATTACAAGCACCATAGCCAATGTAGTGGTTATTGTGCCAAGTGTTCCGTGGCACCCTGCAGTGCAAGTAGTCAAAACGTGTAACTATTTAACTATATAGCAATAAGTAACTACATGTAACCACGTATCTATAAATAAATATGTGACTTTGTAACTACTGTAAAACTATGTAACTATATAAGATATATCTAGCTATATTTCCATAGCTTTAT